ACTACTCCATTTTCAACATCACATATCTGGGTTTTAGACACGCGACGTGCAAATCGCGTTACGCGTCCATCCCTCATTATACTTTTCCCATTCACACTGTAAAAGTTGTTAAAGTTGAAGTCTACTCTCTTCTCTTTGAAAAGAATAGAGATATAGTACTGCGATGGGTAATCCGTTAGATGTTGAGAAATTTTAATAAAAAAGTTTACAAATTTTAAGATCAGAAGATGTAGAAAAGTTGACTTATTTAAAAAAATTCTTTTTAGGAATCAGTAGTGCTTAATAGATCAATTAAAAAATATTGTTGCTTTTGCTAATAATAAGACTTATGGTAGAATATAGTTTTTAGTAATATTCAAATTATATCACAAGTTTAAGTTAGTTACCTCTAGAGATATCAAGTAGTAACAAGGAAATTAATGTATATTTTATTTAATTTGAATAAAGGTGTAAACCATTATTTTAAAAAAAAAAAATTCTGATAAAAATAATATCTATTACCTTAGTTTATATTTTTACTATAACATATATTTATCCAGTATAAAAATATTATAACTCAAACATATATATAAGGTCTCCAAATTTTATTTAGAAATTGGCAGGTTTGAATCTCTATTGAATAAATATCTTATCTATATTAAACAAATTATTATTGCTTCTTTTACTTGATCTTATAAATCTTAGAATTGTACAAATTTTAATACTTAGAAACTTTATATATTATATTGGTTTTTTCAAACAATGTATCTTCCTGCTATTGGTTTTCTATCTTTATCTTTTTTCTGAGATAGAAATGATATATGATAATATATATAAAGATCTTATTGTATAGATAATATATAAAAAGATTATATAAATAAATTTTGTTATATATATAAGTTAATATATTATATAACACAATATAAATCATTAAAAATATGATTAATATGTAATAATAATAATATTATTATTTAATAATATCAATATCATAAAACAATAATCTTGTTCTAAAAATATAATATATCAATATCTAAAATAAATTCTTCAGATATATCAAGGAGAATTAACATAATCTATATATTTTTATTAATTAAAATTATCAAAAAAAAAACAATATGCTGAAGTGTGTCAAGATTGAAAAGTAATATTATAATAGTAAAATTAATTGTCTTTTTTCTAATATTAAGTTTTAGTAATCGAATAAAAATAAATATTAGATATATTAAATAAAAGATTGATTTTATTTTAATAAAGATATTATATATAATATTATTTAAATATTTAAATAAGTTATTAATGTTGAGTTTAAAATAGTTTAAAATAAATATTTTATTAAAATTCTTGATTGTATTAAATAACTTGATCTTATATATTATTATATAAATAATATATTGCTTTTAAAATTTCTTTTTTAATACATAATCATTTAGATAATTATTTGGATAAGTTAGTATTTAACTTACATAAATTGAAAAATATAGATTTTTATATAAAACATATCTTAATAATATATATTAAAAAAAAATTAATGTTTATTAAAAAAAAAAGTAATAAAAATAAAAAATAAAAATTTATTCTTTTATTATTTCTTTTATTTCTTTTATTGATTTTTTTGATTTTTTTAACTATTATTTATAAAATAAAAATAATATTTTTGTTAGAATAGTTAATTATATGTAATAGTATAAAAAAATACTTTAATAATAATAAGTAAATAAATAATAATAAATATTTTAAAATAATAATAATATAAAAAGCATAATACTTTATAACAATAAATTAATAATATAAAGATTTCTTTAAAAGAAATAATATTTTAAGAATAAATATTAATAAAATCAAATTAAAGATAACAAAAATCTTGAAAAAAAATCAAGTATACTACCAGATATCTTATTTCAATATATCAATTATTTATAAAGTTTACAAGTTTTAAAACATAAAATTTATTTGTAAAATAAAAAACCAAATTGTTTTTTATTCTTAATAAAAATTATTGTCATTGAAAAACTGTTAAATAAAATTAATAATATATAATAAAAATCTAAATCTAACATAAATTTAAATATTTTTCTAACAAATACAATACGTCAATATTTTTTTAATTATATACATTATATAGGATCATTTATACTTTTATAATAATTGTATACAATATATTGTATATGTCGAGTCATTTATACTTTTATAATAATTGTATACAACATATTGTATACATCATAAAGTTTGTTCAGAGATATGTACAATAGATGGCACATTGCTGTAATTTAAAAACAAGCATCAAAAAAAAAAAAATTTTTTTTATTAATATTTGTTGATGTTTATTATTTTTTTAAATTGTTGTACATGTGGCTGCATATATTATATACTACTGCATGTGCACATATTTTTAATTACTTGATTGATTGATGGTTAAAATTAATATAGTATATTGTATCTGGCATTTGATATTGTTATCTTCTAAATTAATGGAAAAAAAAATTTTTTTTTTCTCCTATTTTCAAAACAATCGAATTTCGTGAACACGCAAAAAATATGGTGGCGACATCTTGGGACCAATCAAACTTCCACGTTAACACATTTTTTATCGCGATACGGATTTGGCAGGTACAGTAAATCAAGGTTTAATTTGTCGGTATCTGGTATTGAGTTCAGATATGAATCGAATGTTGTTTTATTAATTTCGATAATGATAAACAGTTTTTTAAAATAAAGAGAGAAAAAAAAAAAAAACAAATAAAGACACCGGAAAGAACTCGCATCCATTCATATTATATTATATTATATTTAACATCTAATTGTTTATTTGGATTATCGTGGTTTCTTTTACTGAATGTTTGTTGCCTGGATAAGTTTCATAGAGAAAAAACGAAATGACTTTGTGTATACATTTAATATAACTCAATGAAAAAAATGGAACACAACGATTACTTTATTTTACGGCGGAGATTTATTGTTTTTCACAGTATTTACAGTACATTATTTTACCTATAACCTAAAATAGGGTAACTTCTAAATTAAAAAATTAAACTCGAGACATTCAGAGCTTTTTTAAAACTCTAAAATCTATCTTCGACTATTTGTTGCATTAATATGTGACCATATTTGGAGGTTCGGAATATTCCTCTGAAGTGCCTGGATGCACACATTCAAAGATTCTCGATTGAAGCAAAAGTACAGATGACCAGATGCATACATGCCTGCTGTAGTTTAAACCCTTACTTTGGTGTAATAATGGAATTGATCGGTGTGTTAAAGGGGTCGTATGTTATTCGACGGTTATTAATTATTGCATGAAGTATCTGTTTTTTGAGGAGATATTATTCGAAAGACAAACGATTGACGCGATTGATAGATAAAATATCTCGGAGTGGCGCTCCTTCGAACGCAGAACTATATTGATCATACTTTCGCTTACGTTAGATCGGCCGATTTACAAACGAAGATATTTCTAAGAAAGGAATAATTTCTTATCAAAAAGAGGCGAACAGGAAGCGGGCATGCATGGGTGCTTATGTACGTATTTGAAAGAAGCATACAAAGAAGTCAATCGCATAAGGCGAACTAGGCTGTACTATCCCGATTTTATTCCCATTACTAACTAAATTAGTGCATTAGGTGGTAGGTGAACAAGGTATAATATTACCAAGTAAGTGTTAGCGCGTACATAAACGTGCGCAAACATAGCTGCACCGGAGTTGAAATCTATTGCTTTGCTTTGTACCAAGCTGTACGTTTATATAGAACAGATCATGAACATCTTAAACCAAAATATTCCTAAAATGTCCAAATACACAGTACAGTGCATCACAACAATCTAATTATATCATCAATAGAATTAATACCGAATTTGAAGGTTTGACGTGAAATATTAAAAAATTTAGGAATTCGCATGAGAATAATAAAAAGGATGCAGAAAACAAGAGAGATTAATTTAACGAGAACAATTGAAGAAGAAAAAAATTATGTGGGTATAATTTTTTACATGTGCACGCGTATTTTGGAATCGCATCGATAAAATCTCTGTTTTACGTATGTGCCAAAACCGATATGCTGTATGTAGTAACAGAAGAATGTCGTGTTCGGAATTTATGCAGTCATACTGTCCGCGAATGTAAAACTGACCATAATACCAAGTGGAATCGAGAGTTAATATTATGCTCACTTGACCCAATGATGTAAACGATATATTAGGAAGAAATATCACAGCACGTTTATGAATATAATCGATCACCTAAGTTTAGTTCTCTTGCATACACATACAGTCTACACATCATATAATGGGAAATTGGAATGATACTGTATGTACTGTACATATGCACGAATGTACAGTATAATACTGTAATTATTTAATTATTTCAACTGTTTTTTTTTAAAGAAACCCTAAAGCCTCGGCGGATCGAATCGTGATTTGAAGAAGTTAACAATACCGAGGATCAAACAATAATATACATATTTTTTTTTGATTTTTTTGTGTGTGAATAAAAGCAATTGAACAAACGAAAAATTTTTTTTTGGGAGAATAGGAACAAATTGTCGGTTATTAGAAACGATCTATTGATGCTTGCGTTATGTTCGATAAGCATATTCGATAAGTATGTTCGATAAGTATGTTCGATAAGCCCACCTTAATTAAATGCCGAATCAACACTGTTTTTTTTTTTTTCAGAGGATAGAAGTTATTTTGGGTAAACAAATACATTGTTTTTTTATGGAAGAAATATTTCTTTAAAAAGAATGTTTAAGGTGTTTGTGATTATACATACAGTATATATAATTTTCACAATCCTCTTTATTATGACAACTCGTATTTGAACTGGCAACATAAATTTAATTGTTATTCGTATAAAAAGAGCTTGTGTCCACGTTCGTTCCAACCTTCGTTTTTCAATCAAATTCTTCTCTCGCATACACACAATCTATCATAAATAGACACCTTCCTTATCGCCGGTTTTAATCCTTCGAGCCAGAACTTATATATAAAAAAGTTCTTACCCAGTTTTCCTTCTCGTTGATTAATTATGGTGAACAACGTAGATACAATTCGTCCTAATAAACTATCAATTCGTGAGCATCAAAAAGATGTCACCTATGATTCTCCGCATCGCCTGTATGATCATCGCCAACCCATGTGTCATCGAGAAAGAGAACTGGGGATGAGACACCACATATTCAAGATTCTTTGGAACAGTAGTAACTTTTCTTCGCCAATCGAGAAACGACTTTTAGCTGGCGGTGCCTGTGTACTTGTCGTCGGGTAAGTTTTCATCATTGAAGTGCAGATGTACATTATTTTTTCGCCTCGTATTTCATTATTCACCTACTTTTATCTTTTGCACCGCAGAACCAACCCCTCAATAATGACATTTGATTTAGCCGCTGCTTACCCACACTCCACATTCATAGGTCTCGAAATATTTCCCCCACATCTTTCCTCGCCACCACTTTCTCCTTCTTCGCCTTCGGTCGAACCTCCCAATGCCACCATCTTACAAACTCATACACTAACATCACCACAAATTCCATTTCCCAAGGAATGTTTCGATTTTGTCTACTATCATTCTTTAATGGTACCTACCGTTGATCCGCGTGAAATTCCACGTGAGTTCGAAGGTTGGTCACGAGAAAAAGAGGTGAAATACGAATTGGGGTTGGTGAATGACATGATTCGAGTATTGAAACCGAACGGATGGATCGAGTTCATGAAAGTTGAGGATATGTGTGATTGCGAGCTAGGAAACGTTACGAAGAAGATGACTAAAAGTTGTAAGTATCACTGCATCGTTCTGTCCAGTACCTGATCTTTAAGACGAGATTTTTAACTTTATCTTCATTAAAAATAGATCTTGAATCCATGGACGCAAGCGCCGTTTGCACATTGAATTCCAAAAGCCTAAAATCTCTTCTCGCCTCCACAAAAAAACTTCATAATATCACAGAAGAATCCAAGGATATTGTGTTGGGAATAAACGGTGGACGAATTGGCGAGTTGGTAATTATAATAATATCTTGTTCCTTGTCTTTTCATCGTCATCATAATAAATAATTATTTTGGTCATTCATCAAACCTTTTTTTTTAAAAAATTTTTTTTAGTTGGCGAACACTCTGTTCAACCAAATAAATTCAAACGGTTCCTCATTGGCGGCATATATGAAGGTTTCCGTACAAGAATTTAACGAGATGTATAGTGCAATGATTAAAGAAATTAATGAGTGCAAGGCTCGTTGCCATTCGTATAGGTTAGTAGTGATGCGTATGATACATGTTAAAACGGTGCAAGTCAATTCAATACTAATCACATTCCACCTTTTTATTACAATGAATTAGAATTTATTCAAGGAAAACCTAATTGAATAATTAGACAAAAAAAAAAAAGTAAAAAAAGTAAAAAGAAAAAAATAATAATATACATATATAAATATATACATATATACATATAAGGGGGATCTTAGTTTATGATCCAAAACCCACTGCTTATTAGATCTGTACGTATGTCCCTTTGTAAATTTGTAAATGTAAAATTTCCTTACAAAAAAAAAAAAAAAAAAAAATTTTTTTATCATTCTTTCCTTTGTTTATTTTGCTCACATTTGTTTGAACAAACTTTACACTTTCTTTTTGATAATTTTGGTTCGGGGGGAAATCTCGTGTGTTTCTTTTTTTTTTCTACTAATTTCCTAATGACAATTCCTCACGCGTCACCTTGCAACCACTTTCATTCATTTTTAACCTTACTCTCCTTTCTTCAAGTCTTTGATCTGCGATGTCATGAGGAATTGTTATACGAATTTTTCGCTTTTCTACGGATGTATTCTAGCACATGATGCATTAATGTAATTACTGATTTTGACAAACTTGTGATATACGTACAAAATGTTGTTATGCGTGATTTACGTTTATACATGCATTAAAATGCAATCTTACGCCACGCAGTACTTATATATCGTTATTGTGCTACGTTGATATCGACAAAAAAAAACCAATCTCATCTCATCAAAACATGAACCCAATTCCAATTCTTATCTTAATCGAAAAGAAAAATTTCAAAGAAAAATGACAACGGAAGTCACAACCTCCACCGTGAATGAAATTGAACCGGTGGTGGAAGCGGAATCAAAAAGTACCACTAGTAACCTAAAATCTTTTCTGGCGGGAGGTTTTGGTGGGATATCATGTGTGCTTGTAGGTGTGTACTTGGTCTTTTTTTTATTTGGATTTTAAAAAAAAAAATTCATGTGAACTTTTTATCGATTCGCCCATTAGGACATCCATTCGATTTGGTCAAAGTATGCAGACTGCTAAAATGTCTCGATTTACATATCATTCAGCAGCGATTAACGTAAAAATCGTTCTACATAAACTAGGTACGTCTGCAGACAGCTAAGGATGGTCAGTACAAAGGTATGTTGGATGTCACCAGACAAATAATCAAGGCTGACGGGATACGTGGGTATGTTAAATGTCAATTCACATCCTTGCATTTGACTTCACCCTTTAATCAATGCTTTCTTTTCTCGTGACGTATGTAGTATGTACAGAGGTATGGGTCCTCCGCTAGTAGGAATCACCCCGATTTTTTCGATAAGTTTTTGGGTGAGTTGATGACTTGAAATTTAACATAATCCATATTTCGCGTAATTTAATAATAATATTTTTATTCTTACGTTTATTTTATTTATTTATTATTTTTCTTTTAACGCAACGTCATGCCATAATAACAGTCTTATAATCTCGGTAAAAAAATCGTGTACTGGGGGACACCAAACCGCAAATCACAAGAACTCACTTTGACCGAATACGCAACTGCTGGTCTCATCTCGGCTGGTCCGACTACTTTGATCATGGCCCCAGTGGAGAGGATAAAAGTTTTATTGCAAATCCAAGGTCAAGGTGGCGAAGCAAGATACAAAGGGCCGATAGACGTGGTGCGTCAGCTCTATAAAGAAGGCGGATTTTCCAGCATTTTTCGTGGAGTGGGTGCCACTTTACTTCGCGATGGTCCAGGTTCAGCTGTCTATTTTTGGGCCTATGAGTTGACCAAGAAACTTTTGACACCTCCCGACACCGATACCCTAAATCCTTTGGCCATTTTATTTGCCGGAGGTAGCTAATGCGCTGTCATATTTACAAATGGTTAGCTAATTTTCATTGATATTTATTATCACTATTATTTCTGTACTTAGGCATGGCTGGTGTCGCGATGTGGACGATCGCAATTCCACCGGATGTGATAAAATCGCGTATACAATCTGCACCAGCCGGCACCTATCGTGGTTTTGTTGATTGTTTGCAGAAAACGGTCAGGACAGATGGACCCAAAGCCTTATTTAAAGGTCTAGGACCTGCGCTGTTAAGAGCCTATCCGGCTAACGCCGCCGCATTCTTGGGTTATGAAACTAGCTTGAAGGTAATGAATGGTATGTGGTGACGAATGTGAATATCTCCGAGTGCGGCTATAAATTACATTGTTGTTTGAAAAAAGAATATATTTCCTTATGACAAATAAAAAAGTGTAGCACCCTTGAAATTGAATCCAATATGAATAAATAAAGTTAGTCTTTACTATGCATATCGTATCCCATATAGGTTCAAG